AAAATGCTAAAATATTTTTTTTTACATATAAATAAGTCAAACCATAAAAAAGCAGCAGAAAATTTTATGTTATCAAGCTTTTCTTTGTATTGCATTAAAATTTCTGGAGAAAAAAACACAATTATTTTATTTTACTTGTAAGATTATTATATGTACTACATAATTTCTGGGAACTGATTTCATTCATACAACGACTAAACAAAACTTTTTTTGTTATGATAATGAATGGTAACATTAATTTCGTAAAACTCTGAGATTCTTAAGCGGATTCATATCATTAAAAGAGTTATGAAGTATTTAATTTGCTGTATTCATATACACATTTTATATCTTAAAGCTATTACTATACAAAATTTCATTATCAAATTTTCATACACATATTCCACAAATTTTATTCAATTTTCCAGATCATATTTGAAACTTGTGTGGTTTATGTCTCTTTTTGACAAAATGTAAAAATAGAACAAAAGTGTAAGACTGTACAAACTTATTTTAACATGTACATGGAAAAAGAAATTGTTGTGAAATTTATTTGAGAATAAAAACCACCCTTATTGTAAAAATATGTTTTTGTAAGGTATTAACCATATTTCTCGAATTATTCATGAAAATTAAAAAACAACTACTTATTTTCATCCAGATTAAAATAATGAAAAGAAAGATTTAAATTTCTCATATATAAAAACTTTTTTTATTCCAAAGGAATTTTATAACAGTTATTATTGTTCCTCTTGTACAAATTTGATTCGAAATCATCAAATTTATAACTTTTAAATACCCAATAATAGTAAAGATTTTTCTTAAATTTAAGACAATCTAATTGTTTCAAGTAGAGTTATGCCATTTGTATCTGGTACCAAAAATATTTTCAAACAGTTTTTCTTGATCCTCTGTTACAAATTTGATTCAGAATTATCAATTTTACTTCTTTCACCTTTTCAATGTCTCTCTAGATCTTAATAAAGTTTAAAACAACCTAATTGTTTTAATCAGAATTACGCCATTTATATACGTATGTAGTCAACTTTTAATAAAACGTGTTTCATGTTTGTATCTTAAACATACGTTTATTTTAACTAATATTTATTTTTCTAATTGAAAGGATAAGTTATTTATATTTTTATTTTTTTACATAAATTTTACTTTTTCTCATTATTTGATAATTTAAAACATGGTTATTTTTACTTGGATAGAAATAAGAATTTACATGAGCAAGGTATGAAGCTATTGAAAACCAAGATACGTTAAGAGGGTTCACCGATCTGACGGCCTATTTTTGAAGCATTTTTAGAAAACTTTTTTTGAGGACCAGTAAAAGAATATAAATAGTTTTTATCGTTTATTTATATGTACTTTAAGAGTATGTATATAAATGTGTAGCCAAAAATATCCAATATAAAGTAAGTTAAAGCGCTCTGAACAAAACCAGCTCGAAAGAATGGATGCTTACTTAATCCGCGATTTCGGCTGATTGGCTTATCTGAAATTTAAAAAATAAACAGGGTTTTAATCTATAAGCTTAAATGCATAAAATGGAATATACTTAATTGAAAATGTCAAAAATTGAATTTTTGTTAGACATCAGAAGAAAAAGTTTCGAATTTCATGGGTTTTTTTGTTATGTTTTTGCTATAAAAAAATAGAAATATTTTAAATTTGGAATGATCGTAGTCCATTTGGTGAGAATATATCCTATAAATTTGAAGTTATTCAGTCAAAACGTTCTTGAGATACGATGGAGGAAAGTTTGAAAAACACAGTTTTGAGAAAAACGAATTTAAAGCTTCAAGTCTGATTTTAGCTAACACTGATGCATTAGTCAAGTTTTAAGAAGAAAAGTCGGATTATAGTATAATTCCCACAAATCAAAATGGCTGGTTGACGGGGGGCTTAGTGGAGTAAATTTTAAAAATATTGACTGAATAATTTTGTCTTTTAACATACGAAAAAAAAAGATTCTTTTTTCTGTATTTAACAAAAGCTAGAAAATAAGTAAGCTATGAATTTATATATGAGAATTTTGTACGTTTTTTTTTACTTTATGTATTAGCATTGTTACGAATTTTGTGTAAGAGTAACGAATTTTGTGTTTTTTGTAAAATAGTGTAAATAAGTACATCCGGATATGTAAAACGTTAATATTACTACCTGTTGTATTTATTTTATGCTAAAATTGTAATATTCGAAAGCAAAGCATTCCTTACATTATAATGGTGATTCAATGAAAACTAGGCGAAATGTTGGTGACAGAGCAAGTTCCCCTCATTTATGGCGGGTTGGCGACCTTAAGGATGCTTCTGGAAATTATTGGAGAAATCTATTAATATCATGATCTATGACGTGAAAGGATCTTTCCAGAAATTTCCATGTAGATTATAAATAGGTATAATATATAATAAAAAATAGATTGCTGTAGATAAGTTTAGTATTGTTTTGTCGGTTGAAGAGTTGACAAGTGATTGGTTGTTACTATCAAGCGAGTGTACGCGAATAATTTTAATTATACGTATTTATATATTTAGACACTGACAGTTTGTGTCTGAGAACTGTAGAATGTCTTCTGGGATTTATTTGTGAATTTCGTGGTGTATCCTGTATTTCTAAGGATTGATATTTTCCTCAATAAATTTTTATCCCTCTCAAGGTATCTAACTACCTTAAAATTGTGCATTTCGTAAAAAATTGACACATTTTTAAAAAAATTTTATTTTATAGACCATTTTATTAGCTTTATATAAATACCAAGTTTATTACTTTCCGTTTACTGGAACAAAAAGTACAAGTGTTTTAGTAAAAGCAGATGCCATTACTTTAAGCAAGATGTCATATTTTTAAAACGCCTTTTACTCGAAATGTGTTTTTTGAAAATGCCCAGACGGGGACAGCGCGCGATTGCTGAAAGAGTTTTGAAAATAATTAACTGAATTTTGTTGTGTATGTTCCGTTTAATAGTAGAAGTGTTTTAACCTTCAGATTTATCAATTACTGTTTCATTACAAAATCTACACCCCTTATGTGAATATAATTCCTGTTTTTTTAAAGCCATTTCATATAATAACTCAGATAAAGTGTATAATTTTGTAAAAAAAATTAAAATATCTTCTTATCCTGAAGATCATTTCAAAAATGAATAACATAGCAACACACCAGAATTGAAAATTTGTTTATAAACTTTCGGTACTGAATGGGCTGTGTTTATATATAAACAAATAATAACATAAATTTTTAACCAATTTTTTCCCGTTTTAGTAATAATAATTTCTTTTCCTCTTCTTAATTTTAGCTTATTTTTCTTAAAATGTACTAAACAAATATAAAAACAAAAAAAAATCTCCATATTTCCATTTTTTTCAAAAAATGTTGTCGCAAGTAGTCGGATACCTTAAAGAACTAATTGTTTTGTTCTTTGAGACTAATAGCATAAAATCCTCGAGCCCGATCTACGTATCAGAATATTTAATTTTACGTATAATCTAATGTTAGAGGGGAACGAGAGTGTCGTGAGATTACATTCATTGTTAGATAATTGCTCAGAGAAAGAAATATACTGTCCCCAACAACTTTGCTGACATCAGTTTCTCAAACTGTAGACAACCTTTGCTGATTGAGGGTATTTATTTTCCTTAACGATTTTTTCCATCTTCTCTCGATGAGTTCAGATGATATCAAATCAAAAATGGCCGAAATTCCCTAGATGATGGTGTCTTTGGCGCAGTCCGCATATTTATGGAAATTTATTTCTGCACGAAGCGATGCATCATCTTTCTTCCACTCCCCGTTTCCCAACTGCTTCTGCTTCACCCGTCTTTCATCAAACTACTCGAAAGTCCTCCTCTTTTGCAAAGTACTGATAAATACTTCTTCCTTATAATTTAGTCCGCACGAAGAGATCAAATGTACAGCTCTCATCACATTTATTTATTGATTCCAAATATTTTTGTTATTCTTAGAGTCAAGGGTCAGAGGGTGTTTTGCATCTAGAAAAATACTGTGATCCCAATTTTCACAGGTAAATTGATTAAAAACAAGCGAATGGAACTATAAAAGCTGTGTTTAGAATAAAATCCAACTACGCATTCTCAAATTTGTATTTGCTTTTCATGGCAATGAAAAGTTTTTACTAGAAAATTTTGTTAGATTAAAACATTTTTTTTAGGGGGAAGAGAGAGGCACATATAATATTTTTTCCCTCACATTTAGACATCTGGGTTCGACATCTCTATAAATCAAAAGCGAAGAATAAATCTGCGTATGCAAGTTAGTGAGTGAGAGAATATTAACGTCGTGCTGTTCAGCTACACGAGAGCTTTGGGCGACGGACCTCATCATTTTGAATCATGGTCAAGTGACGAGGACGACACCTGAGATGGCACTCCCTCTCCTAACTAATACACCCACCACAGGAGGACGTTTGAGCTCTCAACATATTCAACGTGAATCCTCCCCTACACGACGGGTCTTCAGTGGTAATGGGCTCGAACTCATAGACACGCCAGCCACCAGTAGGATACTTGACCATCTGGCTACTACGACTCTGCGTAAGAGAGTTATATTAACATCGCACTATAAAGCTGCACGAGGGCTATTGGCGATGGACCTCGTGATTATGAACCATGGTTAAGACACGAAGACAATACCTCTGAGATGGCAACCCCTCTCCTAACTTCCACACCATCGGAGGACGTTTTGAGCTTTACATATTTAGCGTGCCTCGACTCTCTTTGCACGGCGTGTTTTCAGTGGTACTAGGCTAGAACTCGTGACACGTCAGCCAAGAGACCGTGGTACCTCACCATTAGGCTACCGTGGCCAACCTGTGCAAGCAACAAGTAATATAAAAAAATCTTAAGTCAATTACTACTTAGGTCAACAAATTTTTTTTTTTATTTTTTACGTACTTTTTATAAATAGTTACAATTAATATAAATATTATTGATTACAAAAAACCATTGTAATAAAATTGCATAAAAAAAAAGAAACCACATTCTCTGAAATTATGCCATCTCAGGTGGGATTCGAAACCCATGACCGATGTCTAACCGATTAGATGTCTAACCCATGACCGATGCGCTAAAGAAACCCATGACCATCCGAAACCCATGACCGATTAGATGTCTAACGCGCTATCCATTGCGCTACAGGGACACAACGAAGGATTTTCCTTTCTATATATGCTGTTAGATTATTATTTTTGTTTGTTATTATTTATTCATTTTTAATTAACTTAGTGAATTAATATTTGAAAAAACTACATTAACATCAAGTGTCATCCATTACAAGTTTAAAACAATGTATTTGAACTTGAATGGATGCATAGAAAGTATTTTATTAGCGATTGAAAATTTGAATAAGATAAATAACAGAGAGAGAGAGAAATAATAGTAGAAATAGAAGAGAGAGAGAGAGAGAGATTAAACGTCGTACTATAAAGCAACCCAAGAGCTGTAGGCGACAGATCCCACAATTTTGAGCCACGCTCAAATAAAATAAAATAAAATAAAGTGGACACTACATCAGCTTGTTCGGAATCTCCTTTTTTTTACACCACGCCAAAATGAGAAATTCGACCGATTTAACGTGTATCAGCCCTCTACACATCAGGTCTTTAGTGGCATTAGAGCTCGAACTCATGACACGCCAATTACAATCTCGTGACCATGACTACTACCGAGATTACTACTCTTCCAAACGGAACAAGATATAACGAGAAATTACAAATCCTCAAATATGTGAAAATAAAGTTCAAGTAGCTGTATCGTAATCCAGAACAATTTTAGAGCAAAGGCAAAATTATCTTAGTTTTTCCGGAAATATGTTGTTTTCGAATATCTTTATTGAATGACAGATTTTGTTACATAATCTCAATCTTTCTCGAAAGGAATTTATAATCAAAGTGCATCTTAGTCTTTAGGAACCCAATAATTAATTTTCAGTAAGTAACTCAAGTCAAATCTAATTGAACTTCGAACATAAAAAAAATAGGTTTATTTACATAATTTAAAAATTACAATAAGGTAGTACTTACACAAGTTGTTTAGGAGACGGGAGGGGGAAGAGAGAAGTCAGTGCTCTCCTTAATGTTGTGGGTTACATTTTTTGGAGAAACAATTCTAAGGAGAAAGCCATGAAGATCCTCGGCTTCTCTTTCGCGCTTACCTTTTCATACTCAGACCCTATAACAGTTAAATTTCTACGCCAATTAGTCCCTACATTATTGTTCAATCAGTTTGCGCCACGTGTCTTGTATTCTTACGCTACCACACTTTAAATTCGGTGACCCGAGGTTGTTTTGCATCTTTTTAGTGTTTGTAGAATGTTACGACTTTTTGTTATCTGAGGGGTAAACTGAAAAATTGTTCGAATGGACTGATAACGAACGCTTCTCTTCACTGTCAAATGTTGCCGCGGTAGTCTAGCGGTTATGGTCACGAACTCAAGACCAGCGTGTCACGGGTTCAAAAACTGGTGGAACTGAAGACCCATTGTGTAGAGGGAGCTGATGCACGTTAAATCCGGCGAGCTCACGTTGATGTGGTAGTTTGGAGAGGGGATGCCAGTTCAAGTGCCGTTCCTCATCACTCGACTGAGGCTCAAAACAACTAGGTTCCCCGTCAATAGCTCACGTGTAGCTTTATAGAGCAATGTAATATAATTCCTGCTTACTCATTCACTATGAAATTATAAATCTAACCTAAAATGCCACAAATAAGTATTTGAAACCCATCTGAATTACACCATTGGATAAAAAAAGTAACCAAAAAAAATTGTTGACATAAGGAAGCCCCAGTTGTGTAACGGGTCTATTCGCGTACCAATTACTAATCCTCTTGGGAAGTTCTATTAATTTAAATTTTGTTCAATTGAAAACTTTCTCCCTAAGAAGAAGATGCGATGTATGTATAAATCATGTCTTATAGTTAATGCTTAATTATACGACATGATTTACATATATCGCATCTTCTTCGGGAGAAAGTTTTCAAATGAACAAAATTTAAATTTTAGGTAATTAAATTAATTTTAGGTACGGAAGAGGGAGAGAAGTTAGGAGTTAGATGATAGAGTTTGTGATTAACGTAAAAGAAATTGAAAGCTAGACGAGAATGCCTCCTTGATTAATTAATTAATATTTAAAATTGATACTTGACTGTTCAGTCGTAAGATATTGAAATTAGAATCAAATCGACGAAAAGTCGATTATTTGAGATAGGATTTACGATTATTACCAAACGTTAGAAATTCTACTTATAATTAAATATCAAATCTCTCATCTTACCCGCTTTGGCTCCAACTATTTATATAAGAGAATTTCTTCCCTGGGTTTGTGAGACTTATAAAAGATTAATAAATTATATTTGTGTTGATTATGGCTGGTGTTCATTCTGACTTCCGATCATCAAGGGATTTTAGGGGAAATCCTTTACACAGTGGCTTAGTGTTAGCGTATCGCGCATTCCCTCCACATGTCCGAGGTTCAAACCTGGGCTGGGCAAGGTCGACTCAGCCTTTCATCCCTTCAGTGGGTCGATAAATGAGTACCAAGATTGCTTGGGAGTTGAACTCTAAAGGGTTTGCGTCAGACTGTTCATCGTACCGGAACATTGCTCATGTACCTCAGTGCCCAAGGTCATGAAAACTGAGATGGGCACAGTAGGACTCGGTCCTCTATAAACTCTTGCGCCACTTGTGACGGATCTATACGCGTCCTTCCATTAACCCTCTTGGGAAATCTTTGGACTATGAATATTAACAACCCTTTCTGAAGAAGAAACCGTAACATACAGATTAGGTCTATTATATACAGTATAGGTTTGCTTGCTAGAAATATAGATGGATAGATAGAGGAGAGTTGATGATTAATTGAAGTTGCCGGGAGATTGAAATATTAAGAAGTAGAAGATAGGAAGAATATCTACTAATCAGGTATTAGTTATATTGATAGCGCGTTTCGAGATTTAAACTGTTAAAGAGATTTAAGGACAATTAGTCACATAGCTACTGTGTAAATCATATCTTAAAGTAGAAGATTGATTCATAAAAGGTGGATATAGATAAGAAGAATTCTCCGACCTCGCGACTCTCGTAGCAAAATCTTTGTTCTTTTCTGGGAAACATCTCAACCTAATTGGTTAATTAAGATTTGTCTGTGATAATCAGTGCGTTGAATAAATAATTAAAAATTATCTTGTCTAGTTCGTCCTTCCTTTCCTCCTACACCTTACGCCGGGTCCGAGAGTATGTACAGGATAAAAACGGAGTTTTGTTTAATTTGTTGATGTAAAAATGTTCAGATCCATTCAGTTTTAAAGTGCAAATGAATTTAATAACAGTTGAAACAAATAAAATAATGCAGACATTTATACTTGCCAACTTCTCGCTATGAAACGGCTTTCTCTATGTAAAAAGAAAGAACAAAACAACCAGAAACATTCAAAATTTTTATTCCATCTCTATATACAAACAGTAAAAGACACATTTTCTGTTAGAAGGAAGACATTAAATGCTTAAAGATAGCGTCCAGATTATTTTAGAATTCGCTTGATTGTCTTTAGAAATAAAATTGTGAATGCCTTTCAAGGAAAAACAATATAATGCCAGTAAGAGTTCATAATGTTTTTTGCTTTAATGATCGATTGGCTTCAAATCGATCTGTAGTATCTAACAGGTTGCATGTTTTCTCACAAAAATCTGGTTTAATAACAGATTTATCAGCAATATTAATGAGTTTTCTTTATAACATTTCTACACAGTATCAGTTTGAAAAGTAGAGAAATTTTAAGCACAATGGAAATAATTATGCTTTAAATATATTTGTATTAAATAAAATTCAAGAAAA